GTGATAAGACGAGTAGAAGTAATGAGCAATGATGTAGTTTTACAGTTAAGAAATAACTTCGACGACTACAGCTGGATGAATCCACAGATGTCGTTGACATCTCACAGATGGCCGTGTTCGTCAGGGTGGTTTTTAGTGATTTTAAATCTTTTGAAGTTTATTCCACAAAAAGGACAGACTACTGGGCAGGACTTGTTTCCTTCTTTTAAAAATAATATTTCTTCTGAGAAAATTCCAATATCGAGAATGGTAGGCTTGACAACCGATGGCGCTCCAGCTATGGTGGGTCGTGATACGGGTCTCGTTGGGTTATGTCGTAATAATGGAAGTTTTCCGCAACTTCTATGTTACCACTGCATTATTCATCAGCAAGCATTATGTGGACATTTTCTAAGCCTAAGCAACGTTATGAAATTGGTAGTAAAAATTGTGAACAAGATTAGAGCTCAACCGTTACAAAAAAGATTATTCAAAACCTTGGCCGATGAAATTGACTGTCAAAACGGGGAACTACTTCTTCACTCTGAATTCCGATGGTTAAGTAGGGGACGAGTGCTGAAACATGTTATCATATTTGTCATACTTCGATTTTTCAAACAACGTGATGAACCGATTCCGGAACTGGAAAATTCAATCTGGCTTAGAGATTTTGGTTTTCTTGTGGATATTACAGAAAAATTTAATGAACCTAATTTGCAGCTTCAGGGAAGATACAATGAACTATTGATCGACCAGCCAAAGATTGCTAGGGACGAAAGGGGGAAATGCGATGAAAAAACCTTACCATTAGACGATTTTATATGGAGTCATAGGCGGAGATCGGAGAGACTTGAATTATTAATTGAATTTATATTTTATTACAACTGGTAGTATTAATATTTTTTTGCGATTCATAATGACGTGATACCAAACATACATTATAAGAAATAAATATACACAAACACTGAATATTGAGAACAAAATAAATATATTTTTTAGGCAACAAGTAATATTCCTATGTACGCATTATGATTGAACAGCAAAACAAATTATGCATTCTTCTAAAATAGAATACAACAAGTCAAAAATATCTGACTGAATAGAAAAATATAGGAAAACAAAAAGTAATTTCTTGATGAAATAACCCATAAACAACACATAGAATTAGACTTTCTACTGAGATACTAAAAGCCACAAACCAATAGTATAATAAATGAATATCTAAAAATTCTAAAAGGTAGCCAATCTAGTATAGTTTCAATCCTGATTAGAGTCATGATCACTGTCTGAGGAACTGTCATTGCTATCACTTTCACCTCCTATGTTGATTATTATTTCTTCCTGTATTTCTTGAATGAGACTGTCTTTTTCCCAATATTCATCTTCAATTTTTATAACATGTCCAATAACCTTTTGCCAGTCACTGGCACTTACTGAAGCGATGGCCTTATTAGAAATTTCATCTAGTTTTTTTATAGTAAATTCGCCGCTTGTATTATGGCTTCTAATGAAAAATTTTACTTGTGCCCAAATCATCTCTATGGGATTAAACTGACACATATAGGGTGGCGTTCGAAGTGGGGTGTGTCCGAAACTTCTTATTAAATTATCTATCTTATAATTTTTCTCATCAGATGGTGGCCTATGTAGACAAGCTATTTCATAAAGCTCCATTTTTTTAGCATTAGGATCATGCTCTATACCTTTTTTGCTCAACCACGTGATGATGTCTCTTTTTAGAGAAGATCTAGTTGGAGGCTTGTCTTCCAAAGCTGAATGGTAAGGTGCATTATCCATTATTATAATACTATTAGGAGGAATGTTAGGAAATAGTTTTTCAGTAAGCCACTTCGTGAAATTTTCTTGGTTCATTTGACCGTGATAATCACCAGTGGCACAGCCAGCCTTGAAAATGAGACAGGCTCCAGGAACAAAACCATCTTGCGAACCCGCATGAACAATTATAAGTCGTCCTGGAAATGAATAAATAGCCTCATTTTAGTGTTATTTTAAGTTTGCCAACACCTTTTTGAATCACTATGTATAAAAAACATATTTTTGAGAAAAAAATACTTGCAAGGGATTATGTATTCAATTAGACAAATTAAATGAGCACTTATTAAGAATATTCCAAAATTGAGAAAAATGTATAATAAGCAAAATCGAGGTGAAAGAAACTTTATTACCTGTAGAACTTATATTGCTCAGGACACCCATAATTTCTTCGCTTTGCCAGCATTTCTTGAAAGTGAGGTCATTATCAACCCAAGTTTCGTCCAAATAAATAATATGCCTTCCTTCTTCCCGGAACTTTTTAATAGACCTAAGATACTTGTATCGCCAATGTAAAATACTGGGTCTTTCCATTAGTAATTTCCTTTTGTTGTGGCATTTACGCCAGTAAAATCCTTTTGCTTTTAAAAGCAGCCTCAACGATTCTTTACCAAATGGAAATTCCATTTCTTCCTTCAGTTTGATTAGAAGTTTACTACAAGTAGGTACCACTTTAAAATCACAGTAAAATTTTTCTATCATTCTCCGAATAATGGAAAAATCGACTCCATCAATTTTTTGGATCACAGAAGGGCGTGATCTCTTTTTTCCGGGAGAAGCTAAAGGCTGTGTGGAGGTTGCATTTTGCCTGTCTTTATCTTCTTTTCTAATTTTACTTATAGTTCGTTCACTAACACCCGTATAATATGCCGCCCTTGCATTTCTAGCTACCAGTGGATAAACGAAAGTATTGTTAGCCGCTTCTGCATCGCAAGCACGTATCACGTTTGCTATTATTTCCCTTGCCTGGCTGTGAATAACTTTCCCATGCTTGAATTCCATTATCACCACTAAACAGTAAATTATATTTTCAAAGTATTTGCCAACTGCCTACGCCTATGGGAGTAGGTTTATAAATGACCGTGCCATCGGCACGTTATTCTAGTTTCAGATAAGATAAGAGTTTTGGACCAATCAGCGACCGGATGTTTACCTGCGGCCTGGGTTTTCCAGCTACATTGCCAAATTCAGCGGAACAATTCTATATCTTAAATATGTTAATATGTATGGACCGCATTTTATGTAGAACATCTGACAACTTCGCAATTTTTTGTCCGCATTCTTTCGGCTTGCAATCTTTCGCTGGTCCAACATTAGCAGAAATGATTTCTGATATAAAAGCGTTTATCAAAGAGCTTGAGTCTTGGCAACAAAACTTAGCCGATGGCGATACCAGGCATTTTCCTGTTTTTTCAGAAAAGATATCTCAACGTCCATAAACCGTATGACAGTAAATATCATGTAGAGATAGTCTCTAACTTGAAGGATAACTTCAAAAATCGTCTCATGGATTTCAAAAAAATTGCTATAGTGGACTACACAGTGGAGCAAGTTCGTAAACATTCAAGGTCACGGCTCGCACTGTAATAAAAAATTAGCGCGAACATTTAGTAAACTTAAAATTACACTCTAACAAAACCGAATCAGAATTTGTTTAGTTCACCTCAAAATTAATCCGTGTACCAAGTCAAAAAGCCTAGGTGTTTCCCATAAACTAAATACTTCTGTTTTTCTTTGCTCTTCTCCTTTTTTCTTCTCTTTTCCCTTTCTCATTTTCCTTGACATTGTCTGGTTTCTGGGCAACCAAGGCTGACAGATTGCAACATTAGACAGTGACTAATGGGCAATCGTCCAGACAAACAAATGACGAATAGTATATTAGGAGTTATTAGAATCTACTTTAATATCATTGAAAATATCGTATCAAACAAGTTTTTTAAGTGATGCGGTCATAGAATGAGTGCTACCAAATATTTTACTTTCACTATAGTGAGCGAACAGTTCAACAAGTTATTATAAATTTTAAAAATGCACTTTGCCGTAAAATGTCATCTAGATGTACAGCGAACTATTAATTATATCATATTGTTGAATATTCTAATAAAATGCTTGTAATAATGAAGCTTGATAATAAATGTCAAAAAACCCATGGTCGCGCTGGTTGACATTACATTTGTGTTCCGCTTGTTATTTAACATTCAAATAAGACGACGACAAAACGTGCCGATTACATCAGCTGATTTTATTCCGCCTAAATTAAGTCACCGAATTCTTCGACGTATTTCATGTCGTACAAATTTTCAGCACACCTTATATGCTAATTTTTACTTGCACACAGTGGTGGTGCACGTAAAAATCTGACTTTTCAGCAACTACGTTAGGTATCTGAGATTTTCCATTATGGCCGCTCAGAGTCTCTACCCCTCGTTAAAAACTATAATACGGCGACTTAAAACGAAGTCAGGGTCGTATTATAGTTGCGACTTCGGAGGAAGGCTTTTTGGATCTAAAAAGAGAGGCAAAATTAGAGCAACTAGTGTCACCAAGTCATTAGAAAAATGGAACTCAACCGAGAACATTTTCGCGCCATAATCTATTACAACTTTCAGAGACAATTATCGCAACAAGAATGCCTTGCTGAGTTACTGTCTGTTTTCGGCAACGCAGCGCCACAATTTCCCGTTGGTATGAGGAATTCAAACGTGGACGGGTGTGTCTTAGCGACGATCCCGGGGTGTCCTTGAAGATCTCAAAGACCTCAATTCAAACAAGTTTACATGACGAATTAGGAGTAAGAAAATTAGTTTCTCGTTGGATAGCCCCACCTGTTGACTGAAGAGCAGAAATGTGTACAGCATTGTTACTGGTGATGAATCGTGGATTTACCGTTATAAACTAGAAAATAAACGATAGTCGTCTGTTTGGATGTTCCAGGGTAAAGAAAAACCAACAAAAGTCATCTGTTCTCGAAGTGTTTCGAAAAAGGTGGTCGCGACATTTGTGTCAAAAGCGGGTCATATTGCAACAATTCTTGTTAATGAGCAAAGAACTGTTACTGCGGATTGGTATACCACCATTTGTTTGCCAAAAGTCATGACCGAGCTTCGAAAAATCAACCCCGAAAGAAGACTCATTCTCCATCAAGACAATGGAAGCTCGCACACAGCCCAAAAAACAAGGCAGTATTTAACGTGGAATTATTGGACCATCCTCCATATAGTTCCGATCTAAGTCCTAACGATTTCTTTACTTTCCCAAAAATTAAAAACAGACTGCGTGGTCAAAGGTTCCAGTCACCAGAAGAAGCAGTTGGCGCATTCAAGAATGACGTTTTGGATCTGCCAGCAAACGAGTGGAATATGTGGTTCGAACATTTTTTCGAGCGCATGCAGATGTGTATTAATCTTCGTGGAGAATTCTTCGAAAGACAATAAAGTCATTTAAAACTACCTACCGTGTTGTTTTATATCCATATGCAAAACTCAAAAGACATCCCTCGTAGTAACATTTTATAAAAATCCGAGCACTACAAATACTTATGAAGCTATAGAGGATTGGCGGACAGACAGACTGAGAGACAGACAGAACAACAGACAGACCGTCAGAAATGAGTGACATGGTTTTTCTTGATGCACGTGTCATATCCAAAAACACAATACCTTATTTTCGAATTTTTTTGCGAATACAATACTTCCTGGCCCAGTATGCTAGAAAGTAAGGCAAGAATTACAAAAGTAGTCATTTGTTCTAGATAGCAATTTTGCAAGTACATAACGTTCTGAACAAAATAAAGAAATACGTAATAAACATTTTTGTTCTTATACACTGAATGAGGTACCTGCACCATGCGATAGATATTTTATCGAGTCTTTTGAATACTCGTACTGAAACGCATTTTCGAAATTCTGATACAAATTTAGAACACTGGAATGAAAAATCTCAAACAGGATGTTTTAAGTTCTCATTTCCTTTTTGATCTTGCAAGAAAAATAGAATCACGTTTTCCCAAAAAATAAACCTTTGAAACGTAAAATAACTGGGTACGTCAGGGTAGTGTCGCTACAATTTATAATGCTTTCTCGACAACTGTCAACCACTCATCGTTCGTTTTAATGAAATTCAACATATTTCAAAGGAGAAATGAAATAACTTCTCAAGTTGCGGTACAACTTCCTCAACTATTTGGCTACATACAACTTTATATTATCCGGCTTCTACAAATTGATATAGATATTAAAACCAATGCGACAGCTACAACGGCATATCCAGGACTTGTGTCTGGGGGGGAGGTGGGCAGGGTCACACTGGTCCAAAAACTTCAGGTGGGGGGAGGGTACAGCCTATAAGTGAGTAAAATATATTAAGTCTAATTTAAAAATAAACAATTTACTGTGAAATAAAATTAATTCTTCTTTTTTGTCTTCTTGCGAATCGATTAATATCAATACTTACTATCTCCTTTGAATCCAGTACAACAACTCTTTTCTAGTTTTGTCCGTCACAGAGGCGGATTTAAGTAATGGCAAAATGGACATTGCCGCCTAGGCCCCTGGGCCCCCCAAGGAAGGGTGGTCACAGCCCCCCCCCCAGCAAAAATCATCTCTAGTAACTATATTGTTCAGCGCGTCTGAATGTAAAATTGATAACAAGACATCAGAGTGTTGTTATATTCTTTTAATGACCATCTGCGTAATGTTTATGAAACAGCGCGTTAGCATTCAGTTTGAATAAGAAAATTTCTCTTTCATTTCTTAAGAAATTTTTTGAATAATGACTATTTCATTTCTAAAATTAAGACCGAATGATCCCTTTTATTTCTCAAGGAGTGGAGGGGTTATTTTTTCATTTTGTGCTTACAGTGATATATTATTACCCGGCATATAATGTTCAATAAATATGTTAAATATCTTCGTGGTAAGAATCAGCCTCTTTTAGTCTAATAAAAACTCTAATGCGTCTATTACAGTCTTTTCATGTCTTCAATGTTTATAAACATAAACTTTCAAAATTCAAAATTTTTTATTTGATCTATTTTCTTCGCGATAATATCGTGGAAGAAATTTTTTGAATGTATTGTCAATTGCATAGAATATGAAATTTCAAGAGTGGGAGCTTCTGGCGAAGATATAATGAATGCAAGATCTCTCGTTTCCTCCATGAACTGGACCTTTTTTTCAATTTGTTATGGCATTCAGTATTAAGCGTAATGAATACCGTGTAAGTTCAAATGCAAAAGAAAGAAATTGACTTCATTTTGACTCAAAGAGGCATTTCAGCAGCATTAAAAAAATTAAAAGATTTGAGGAGCGAAAGCACATACGATAATTTTGTTCTGGAGGCTAAAAATAAATGGGAAGAGATGGAATGGGAAAATCCTGGTTTTCCCAGTGTCAGAAAGAGGAAAATCAAAAAAATGTTCGCCACTGGAAACACATGAAAAACATCGAATAAATTACTACGAACTTTTGGATTCAATGAGTAACGAATTGCAAGAACGTACTGAAGGATTTCGTGAGGTGAATGATGTGTTTGGTTTTTTGATGACAGAGAAATTAGTCAATCTAAAAGAAAACGAATTAGAAACCAGCGTCACATTTGATGGAAAAATATTCGGAATTTTTCATTACAGATCCAAAATATGAATTAGCCAGTTTTACGAGCACGCATTTTTCGAAAAATCGTATTTTTACTAATGACAGCCCGCTAGACTATTTGAAGATTGCAAACAATTTTGTAGACAGTTTTCCAGAGAGCTGCAGGTTATTCAGATTGTTTTTGACTTTGCCTATCGGTTCAGATAGTACTGAACGTGTCATGAGCTCTTTGAAAATCATCAAAAAATACCGTCGAGCTTCTTTGGCTAAAGACACACTCAACAACTTCTTTAATCTCTGTCTCGGAAGATCAGTAGCTAATACACTCAATTTGGATTCAGCGATGGAAGTTTTTAGAATAATTTCTGTTATTTTGTATTGAATAAAAAATGTTTGATCTCTCAGTCTCTACTTGATTCAGTTTATATAGACATATAGTAAAAAAAACAGAGGTAACAGTGCGCAGCAGCTACTATTGTGCATATAATTGTAAGCCCCTGTTAATATGTGACATCCTTATTGTCAGCAAAATCTGTAGTTCGAACTTTATCTGAACAACTTATATGCATTTTACGTTATCGAAAAATCTTAGATCCGCGTGAATATTGAAACAGTTGAATTAGCTGTTTTATTGGCAGCATCAGATTAACTTTTTGCATCAAATTACTATTAAAAAACATTTTGCAAATTCTGCAAATAGCTTGCACTCCAAATTTGACTCGACGCCCTTTACTTATCGGTAGCATCCGTGATAACTTTTGAACTCCATTATGCACAAGAAGTTTGCTGGTGAATCGTCAAGTTTAATTTACTTCAAAAAATTACGATGCGCATTACAACCTGTCCCGTGCCCGTGCGCACTATTAAACGCAAAAAACAGGCTGATGTACGATTGCACTAACATGACATTACGCATTAAATGTTGATATTAATTTCTGAGTTATCATGCAACTTTCAAAGTTTCCGTTGCCGCATTTTATTTGTCAACAATTGCAGTAATTTATGTTATTTGCAAAACAGTTATAGTGCGCACTATTTGCCGTCTGTCCCCGATCATACCACTGGGCTCCCCAGTGCATATTGCCGACAGGGCCCTTTTCCTTAAATCCGCCACTGGTCCGTCCAAAAGTATTTTTTATCAAATATGCTCACTGCCTAAGCGCGCGCGCGCAGAAGTTTTTTCTACATCAAGCTGATCGCATAGGCAACCAGTCTTGCGCTATCATCTATGAGCTTACAGTTAAATCAAAGTTGACGGATGCAGTACTGGCAGTGTTTAGTAGAAAACATCAGTACGGCATCCATTTAATATAGAATTACAGATTTATCTAAGAGATTTGTAACTTTAAAAAATTGGTGGTCGTACTAAGTTCGCCTGGGGGGGGTCATGACGCCCATGATGCCACCCTGGATCCGCGCCTGGGACAGCACTGCTGAAGAACTTGTTACTAAACTGTATCCATCGAAGAAACAAAGTAAAATCAAACATATACACCCGTATTGCACGTGATCAAGAACTTAACCGTAGGAGACGCTACAGGGCCGTATCAAGCTATTGTGACTGATCTATCAAAAAATGTCGTACAAGATATGTGTTGCTGTAAATTCTATCAAAAGCATAGTAAATTATCAGGAATATACCACGCCTTTCTAATCATATTTCGACATTAGGAATCAGTGCAAAAAATTCTGTATTCACCATTTCAGCAAAATGTTACTAAAACGCACACGAAAAAAACTTGTGGACCATCTCAATTGAAATTGTTCATATTTTATTATTAACTTACATATATACCCAATAATATTTACAAATCAACCTTCTATTCACAATGCAGAGCAAATTTTTTTGAGCAAATAGAAACTACAGACGTAGTAGTAGTAGTACAAAAGTTTATTACAGACTCCATAAAGTTTGTTAGTTTGATTGCTATTAAAATTTCCATGAGAAATAGGAAGAAGGTCAAAATGGCACTATTATGCTTTGGAACTCCTAAATTAACCCTAATTTTGTGTAATTATAAATTTGGAATTTCCACATTAATAACTAGAAACTTACACTTTGATTGCAGTCTATAATGAACTTACCTGTCTTGCCAAAAAGCCCGTTAAACTGCCAGTCTTAATGGTATCAATCGATTTATATGCTGTATTCCGAGGAGCTTGAATCATCAGAATTGTTGATGTCAATTATAAGGGGTTCAACTTGGGTGTCAATGATATTGTCCATATCCCACATTTTGGTTTCAACCTTCTCTTGGACATGGTCAATACATGTTCTCCATTTTGCTAGCGTAATTCTATCGACAGCAACATCAAACCGTTTTTTAAGGTCAGAAAACTTAAAAGTGCTGTTATTTGACGCCACGTATTGCTTGATGTCGGCCCAAATCAACTCGATAGGATTCAGTTCGCAGTGATAGGGAGGCAGCCTGAGAATCGTTTTATTTTGGTTTTTGGCCATTTCGTCAACAATTTTTAAATCATATTTATACTTATGTCGCTTGACTATATTTATCAGCTCAGCTTTGACCATTGTTTGGTCGAAGTCGATCTTCTTTGAGACAAGCCACTGTTGAATGTCTGCCTTTTTGGTGGCCATTGTTGGAATTTTTTCCAATTTTCTGGAGTGGTACGGGGCATTATCCATCACAATAATTGCGTTATCATCAAGTGTCGGCAAAATTTTTTTGAACCAATTTTCAAATGAGTTACCATCCGTTTCTTCGTGATAGTCTCCAGTTTTTTTGGATTCAAATGCCCACAATGCTTCAGGAACAAATCCATCTACGCTACCTATGTGGCAAATGATCAGGCGTTTTTCCTTGCCTGAAAGTAATTAGTTATTTTACTTCTCA